GGATACAGAAATAAACGAAAAGACAAGCTATTAGCATTGATATAGTCCACTAGAAATATTTTATTGTCGCTCTTACTCACTTTTAGGAATTTTCACTACATGTAATGAATGTGTAGTGGACATGTAGTGGGATGTAGTGGGGTGTAGTGGACATGTAGTGGGATGTAGTGGACTTGTAGTGGGGTGTAGTGGAAAATCTCTTGTAGTGTAAGTTAACTTGTAGTGTAGTGTAGTGTTGTTTTTTCCCCCTTGAAGGAAACCCATATAACAGATCATCGTCTATTAGAATTAACTGATAGTGTAGCTCGAGAATTTAATGTTTGATTTGGTTTTAGTACATTACCTGAAATATGTCGTCTAAATCCAATTATAATCAATTCTACACAACATGAAGATAATTATTCAGTAGATTTTGAAAATTTAATACCAACAGGACGTATATTAATTGATTATACTGATCATAAATGTCTTCTTGAAATGCAAAATGAACCAACATTAGAAAAAGATGAAACATTTATATCGCCCATGGGGAAATTTTAGTAGGTACCGCGGTGTATACACGCGTGAATATCTTGAAATGAATTGTGGTCGCACGTGAACATCGTAAAATAGTGTGTGAGCACGCGTGAAAAATATATTCCACTTGTGACAACGGGTGAACTGATCACGAAAACGTTTCGCGTCATATTTTTTGCACGTGATCACAGGTGGAAGTCGTGAAGTGTGTAGTGGCCACACGTGAATTTCTCATGTTAAAATTTCCGTAAAAAAATATCACTTGCGGACACGCGTGAAAATGTTTCCCACTAATTTCATTGTGAAAAATATCTTCACATTTATTCGCACGTCAGTTTTTCACGCAACCCATTTCGTGAATAATATTCACGCTTAACCCCAAGCGACAAAATTCTTACGCTTCACGCGCGTCCACGTGAGAAACCTTTTACAGGTGCGAAATGTCGTGAAGATTGAGCGGCAAGTATAAATACAATTTCTTTTTTACACGCGGTAACTCGTGAGGATTGATTCCACAACTATGAATATGAGATTTATTCAGTAGTTTTTCAGGCAAGTTAGCTCAATAGTAGTATCGTAGATTTCTAATTCAAAGTATCTTGGTTCGACTCTTACTTTACGATGATATATATAAAATGTGATATTTTAGAAACTAGTGGTCACACGTGGAAAAAATTATAGATGAAGTTGCATTGACGAAATCTACATTATACCTTGACCATGGCGACCATGTATAGTCAGTTGACTATAGATGGTCGGCATGGTCGAGATTTTTTCACACATAATCACTCGTGAAGATTGTTCATTTGTGTACACGTGTGAACATTTTTCACGCGTAGCCACGCGTGTGATGTTGCAACAACACGACCAAACTGTCGTGAAACCTGCTGTCGTTATCCACAAAATTTCGTGAAAGTCCAAGCTGACATTTCGCGGTTCTTCACGTGTGAAAAGTCGATAAAATTTCCTCATGGGTTTATTGGCACGTTATATACATGGTTGCTCAACAAGAAATATTGATACAATTCAAACAATTGATTTAAATTTTTTAATAAAACAAAATGCATTTGATGGAAATCAAATATTTGAATTATTAAGGGGGGTCCCCCCACCCGTTTTTTTCCAGTTTGTGGAGGACACTTCGAAGTATACGTCTCAACAAAGCTTTCAGTTCCCGGACATATAGTTTTTGATAAAAAAAATTTTTAATTTTTTTTCGGGTTTTTTGCCCTATTTTTAAAATTTTAATAAAAACTTCATGTTTTGACATGAAGAGTTGATTCTAGCGTAGTTCGATAGAGAACATTA